CGGCTAAGCCAGAGTTCTTAAAGTGAATTTCCCCCCATCTTACGACCTTTCTTCCATAGTTGTTAAATGAAGCACTGCAACTGTTCAGTTAGTGACATGGTTGTTAAATGGATCTGCCTTCCTCATTGGTTTTGTTTGCCAGGTCACAAAACGGGAATCACATGGCCCCCCGACATAAATATGAGTCAGCCGTCAGTTTTGATCAGGTGTCCATGGGGATGCTGCAACTATCATGAGTATGAAAAAAGGGTCAAAAAGTCACTTTTTGTAGTGCCGGTGTAACTGTGAACGGTCACTAAATGAACTCTTGTACGTCGAGCACTACCTGCACACATCCTCATCACAGAAAGACATTGATATGCCTGCCACAATAAACACAACCTCATCACATGTTTACCCCACGAAAGGGCATAAAGATATTGGTTTTTTACAAATGTAAAAAGTTGTTTTTCATCCTTTGTGCATTCCTCTAAATGCTAGAGGTAAGGTATGATTTCAACACGAAGGAGAATTCCTGCTCTCTAAGAAGGAATATATTCCAGAAAAAAAAAGGGGTGTAAGTCTATTGGTAAAATCATGCGACAAAAATATATAAAGAACAGTTGCAGGAACTGGGTATGGCTAGTCTGGAGAAAAGAAGGACTAGGACATGATAGCAGTATTCCAGCAGTATTTGTGGGACTGCCACAAAGAAAAGAGGGTCAACCTATTTGCCAAAGCACCAGAAGGCAGAACAAGAAACAATGGATGGAAATTAATCAAGGAGAGAAGCAACCTGGAATTAAGGAGAAACTTCCTAACAGTGAGAACAATTAACCAGTGGAACAGAAGTTGCCTTCATAAGTTCTGGGTGCTCCATCATTGGAGGCTTTTAAGAAGAGACTGGACAATCACTTGTCTGAAATGTTATAGGATCTCATTCAGCAGGGGGCTGGACTAGAAGACCTCCAAGGTCCCTTCCAGCTCTATTCTGATTCACTGTGAGGTGGTGACATCATCACAAAGGGGAATTCTTGCTAAGAAAGAATTCATACCTGAAAAAAAGGGTGTGTCTATTGGTAAAATCATTGTCAGGATCCCATTGTATTACTAAACTAGTTGGGAGGTTATTTTAGGGCTTAATTTAAAGCAAGAAATGAAAACTCACGCTATAAACCAGCAGTTATGGGGAAAGTATCAGATGCATTGCCCGTTCTAGGTAAAACTGTATAGATATGAGTGACAACTAAGTCCTTTTGATATGCAACAACACAAAGAGTGAAAGGTTGAGATACTTTAGAAGAAATGCATAAATTCTATGCTACTTTTCTCCTGTTTTTTTCATGTCTTTAGTGACTATTAGAGCTACCTTAGGCAACTTAGGTGAATCTTGGGCAAAAACCTTTAAGATTCAAGTACTCTTCCTCATGTCCTGAAAATAGAGGTGTTTTGCCTAAAGAGGTGCAAAAAAGGAACCCCAAGACTTCTTGGAAGAGAGTAAATCAGTTGGGAGTTGGCTGCCAGGCTAAATCATGATCAAAATCAGTACTGCAAATCTCTGGGTTAAGAACACACCAATTTAAAGATGGCCGGTATTTAAGAATTGTAGCAAAATTTGAATTAAATACACAATGGATCAACTTAAATTTGTTACACAATACTACTGATACAGATCTGAACTGCATCCATCCAGACACCTGTGCATTCATTCACAGAATTTATACAACTGTCCCTCTTTATCAAGTAACTGGGGCAGGAACAAAGTACGTGCATAAAACAAGCCAGCATCAAGGCCCTACAGCAACACAGAATTTAAAAATAACCCAGGGTCCTTGCAAAACACAGAGCAATCACACCCATCCCAGGACTTCTGTTTTTCAGTCACTAAGTTGTGTCTGACTGTTCGCAACCCCAGCACACCAGGCTCCCCATCCTCCACTGTCTCACAACCCACAAGTTCTGAAAGCAGGCTGTTCCACTGGTGGTTAATTGTCCCCACTCTCAGGATTTGCCCTTAATTCCACGTTGCTTCTCTCCTTGATTAGTTTCTATCCATTGTTCCTTGCCCTGCCCTCTGGTGCATTGGAAAATAAATTGACCCCCTCTTTATGGCAGCCCCTCAAATTTTGGAACGCTGATATCATCTCTTCTCTAGTCCTTCTTTTCTTTAGGCTCGCCATATTCAATTCCTGCAACCGTTCTTCATAGTCTGTAGAGATTCTCAGCCATGCAGGTCATGGGTGCCCTAAAAGTGCTTTTTCAGGAGGCCCCTGGACGTTCTTTTTTCTTTGAAGACCTTTTGCTTCTCATCCAGAAAGCTTCTTCAGCTCTGACAGGATAGTGGGGATAATTTACATCCATTTACAGGGCGGTTGAAGTACTTAGGGTCACCTGAGTCGTGCTCCTGGTTCCTATGGTCTGCAAATCAATCAGCTGTCTTGCAAGGAATATCAATCCTTCCCCACCCCGTTATCCTGTCAGAGCTGAAGAAGCTTCTTGGATGAGAAGCAAAGTGTCTTCGAAAGAAAAAAACAAGAAAGTCCAGTGGCCTCCTAAAAAGGCACCTTTGGGACAACCATGACCTGGCGCACCAGCGTGCCTGACGTCCCTCTCCTACTGTCCCCCTTCATTTGTACCCATTTCCTGTGTTCTTATCCATGTTTCTTTCCCCCCTGTTATCTTGTACATGAGTGACAAAATCAATCAATCAATCAATCTCTATGAAGATTGAACTAGGAAGACCAGTTGCAGGAATTGCATTTTTGGGATCTTCCTCATAGACCTTCAATCATCCTAGTTGCTCTTCTGCGTCCTTCTGGAGGACCCCTTTAGGGTTAACCGATCGGACCTCCCTGAAGTCCAAGGGACTCCGAGAAGCCTTCTCCAACGCCACAATCGGAAAGCATGGCCTGCTGTTTGACGGATACATAAACTGGGATGCAGAAGGGGGTGAACGAAGCCTTTGCATACCCGACGGCCACCATGGGACAGCCAAACGGCTCATTTCACTCTTGCCCGGGTTTCGGGGCTGAGAGCCGCTGGGAAGATGCAATTGCAAGCCAGCTCATCCTGCCTTCCGAAGCTTGGCTTGGGCTGCCCTCTGGCGGCCGTCCGGAGTTTGCACCTAGACTCTCCCTTCTTGCGCAACCCCGGCCGCTCAGCCGTCCAAGGTAGCTTTGCCTTTTCTCATTGGCTGAGCCCTCGCTTTCCTCTTCTCGCCCCGCCTCCCGGATGGGCTCCTCCCCATTTTCTAGGCGGGGAGGCTGGGAGCAAAGCACAAAGGGAAGCGTCCGTCGCTGCCCCCGCCTTCCCTCGGCCCGCTCCCCAACGACGCGAGGCGATCCGGGGCTCCGGTGAGTCCTTTTTGCAACGTTCAGCTCTTTTTCGCCTTGCAGGATTAAAAACGGGGTGCAGTGATCGCGTCCCCCTTGTGTCCAGCTCCCCTCCCTTCCGATGCTTGTACTACAACTCCCATTGTCCCTAGAGCTGCTTGCCGCAGCTTCCCACGTGGCCTGGCTCCCTTGCCCCCCCTCCCCCCCCGCACGCCTTTCCTTCTCTTCCCCTTCCCATCTTTTGCACCCTTCGTCTCGGCGGCCCCGCCACGCTTTCCACTGGAGTCGTGTCCTTGCTTTGGATTTTCCCCCTCCCCCATTCCTCAAGCCCTCCACCCCCCGCAGGCTAATCCTAGCCAGCAGAGAGTAAGTAGATCCTTGATTCCCCCCCCCCTTTGGAAAGGAAGAGGCGAGAGAAAGAGAAAGACAGGGAGGCAGGATCCCCCCCCCTTTTTTTTAAATGGGAACATCCACCTCTAGGATCCGTGGGCCTTTCCAAGGAAGATCCCGCCGCCCTTCTAAAAGCGATCCCCCCTCCCCTTACAAGGATATAACTAGTGGGATGATTGCACCGGATTTAGGAGAGCTGGGATCCACGGGGAGGTTTTTGCAATGCAAAAATCGGCGTGGGTTTCTTTCTTTTGCTTGTAGGGTGGAAGTTTTTT